TCGGTGTTGTGGTTGTAGTAGTAGGTATTGGTGTTGTTGTTGTAGTAGCAGGTATTGGTGTTGTGGTTGTAGTAGTAGGTATTGGTGTTGTGGTTATTGTAGTAGGTATTGGTGTTGTGGTTGTAGTAGGAGGTATTGGTGTTGTTGTTGTAGTAGCAGGTATTGGTGTTGTGGTTGTAGGAGTAGGTATTGGTGTTGTGGTTGTTGTAGTAGGTATTGGTGTTGTGGTTGTAGTAGTAGGTATTGTTGTTGTGGTTGTAGTAGTAGGTATTGGTGTTGTGGTAGTAGGTAATGGTGTTGTGGTTGTAGTAGTAGGTATTGTTGTTGTGGTTGTAGTAGTAGGTATTGGTGTTGTGGTTGTGGTAGGTAATGGTGTTGTTGTTGTAGTTGTCGGTATTGGTGTTGTGGTTGTCGGTATTGGTGTTGTTGTAGTCGGTATTGGTGTTGTGGTTGTCGGTATTGATGTTGTGGTAGTAGGTATTGGTGTTGTGGTTGTCGGTATTGGTGTTGTGGTAGTAGGTATTGGTGTTGTGGTAGTAGGTAATGGTGTTGTGGTTGTCGGTATTGGTGTTGTGGTTGTGGTACTAGGTATTGGTGTTGTTGTTGTGGTAGGTAATGGTGTTGTGGTTGTAGTTGTCGGTATTGGTGTTGTGGTTGTCGGTATTGGTGTTGTGGTAGTCGGTATTGGTGTTGTGGTTGTCGGTATTGGGGTTGTGGGTGTTGGTATTGGTGTTGTTGTAGTCGGTATTGGTGTTGTGGTTGTTGGTATTGGTGTTGTGGTTGTCGGTATTGGTGTTGTGGTTGTGGTAGTAGGTATTGGTGTTGTGGTTGTGGTAGGTAATGGTGTTGTGGTTGTAGTTGTCGGTATTGGTGTTGTGGTTGTTGGTATTGGTGTTGTGGTAGTCGGTATTGGTGTTGTGGTTGTCGGTATTGGTGTTGTGGTAGTAGGTATTGGTGTTGTGGTTGTCGGTATTGGTGTTGTGGTTGTCGGTATAGGTGTTGTGGTTGTCGGTATAGGTGTTGTGGTTGTCGGTATTGGTGTTGTGGTAGTCGGTATTGGTGTTGTGGTTGTCGGTATTGGTGTTGTGGTTGTTGGCCTTGAAGTAGTTGTAGGAACATCACACACCCCTTCGAGACAATACTTAATAAAAAAGAAAGACAATATTTGATCTTATTACACAATAAACAAATTGACGTGATTTGTTTTGACCTCAAAAGTCACTTATATTTGCGTGATTAAGATAGACTTCCAGGAATACCATTTATTCCTTGACTTTATTAAAACTTCAGTATACAGGCATACATTGTATCAATTCACCATATCGGAGGCTATAGTGGTTATCTTCAAACCCTTTTTATTAACCGTCTTATAAAACCCCAGTTTGCAGCATAAATCGTATATCACCTGTAAGAACCACGCGTAGTATAGAACACGTAACACAAGAAGTCCCCTGTTCATATTTCGCTGCTTGTTGAACATACAACTTAAATAACCTCGCCTGTACAAATTTCACTGCTTGTTGAATTAACAACTAAAACCATTTTCCCTGTCCAAATTCCGCTGCTTGTTGAATATACCACTACATTAACCTCCCCTGTCCAAATTTTGCTGCTTGTGGAACAGACAGCTATGTTTACCTTCCCTTTTCAAATTTTGCTGCTTTTGGAACATAAGCATAGGTAATCTCGCCTTATTACGAATTTCGTTGCTTGTTGAACATACAACTTTAATAACTTTCCCCATTCAAATTTCGCTGCTTGGTGAATATACGACTAAAATAGCATCCCCTGTCCAAATTCCATTGCTTGTTGAATATACAACTTAAGTAACCTCCCCTGTCCAAATTTCGCTGCTTGTTGAATATACAACTTAAGTAACCTCCCCTGTCCAAGTTTTGCTGCTTCTTGAATATACAACTAAAATAACCTCCCCTGTCCAAATTTCGCTCTTTGTTAAATATACAACTTAAACAACCTCCCTTGTCCAAATTTCACTAAATTTGGAACATACAACCTAAGTAACGTCCCCTGTCGGACATACAGCTATGGTTACCTTCCCTGTTCAAAGGTTATAATCAGGTTTCAACAAAGCCTAGATTATATGAAATCATCTGGTTTCAACAACACCTAGATTGAATGAAATCATCCTGGCTATCATTTGATCTCAAAATACAAAGATTGTATGGAATTATCGAATCTCAACAACACCTAGTTTAAATGAAATTATCAAGTTTAAACAACACATAGATTTTATGATATTATCTGATCACAACAACACGTAGATTGAATCAAATTATCCGATCTTAACAACATCTATATCGTAGGCTATCATCTTGTTTAAACAACACCTAGATTATAGGCTATCATCTAGTTTCAAAACCACATATATTGTAAGCTATCAACTGGTTTCAACAACACGACGATCATAGACTATCATTTGGTTACAACAACACCTATATTGTAGGTTATCATCTGGTTTCAACAACACGTAGATTGCATGAAATTATCATATCTCAACAACACCTAGATGGTACGAAATCATCTGATCTCAACAACACAGAGGTTGTAAGATATCATCTTGTTTTAACAACACCTAGAATAAATGACATCATCTAGTTTCAACAACACCTATATTATAGGCTATCATCTGATCTCAACAACACCTAGATTGTATGAAATTATCTGATCAAAACAACACGTAGATTGTATGAAATAATATAATCTCAACAACTCCTATTTTGAATGAAATCATCCGGTTTCAATAACACCTAGATTGTGTGCAAACATCTGATCTCAACAACAGCTAGATTGAATGAAATCATCCGATCTCCACAACACATAGATTGTATGAAATTATAAAATCCCAACAACACCTAGTTTGTATAAAATTATCAGTTTTCCACAACACCTAGAATGTGCGTAATCATCTGACTCCACAACAACTAGTTTGAATGAAATCATCAGGTTCCAACAACCCCTAGATTGAATGAAATCATCAGGTTCCAACAACAAATAGATTGAATGAAATCATCAGGTTCCAACAACACATAGATTGTATGAAAGCATCTGGTCTCAGCAACACCTAGATTGTGGGATATCATCTGATTTAAACACCTAGATTGCAAGTTATCATCTGATTTCAAGAACACCGATATAGTTATACTATATAAATATTACTTACAGCATTAGCGTTTCCCTCTTGATTACAAATGCTGCCTTCTAACGCGTAGATGACTTCGTCACAGGCATTCGTATCAGGGTTAGTACAGTCGAGTCCAAGATAACAGACCGTCTCGTCCTGGGTCTGTCAAATACAATACACAATACCGACTAATGCCAATATTTTTTAAAATAGTGTATTCAATCTGATTAATAGAGTGATAAGAGTGATGACGATATTTTATATCAATAACTATCAAATAAAAGTATCACTCAGATATACAAGTATATCAAAAATATAACGTATGCTGCTGTTTTGCAACTTCTATTGCGACATTATTGACATAATCTTCTAAATAAACATCATGCAAAAAATGCGTAACATGTATCATAAAAAAACATACAAATATCATACAAAATATTCAATATGAAATTCCATAACATATTAGTTAAAAATCATTGTTATACAAATACCAGACAATAGTTTGATACAAATTTCTTCGAATCGATTTATGCTGCAGATTTTGATTTTAAAATTAGCTTCTAATGTCTGAATTGGCATACCCTGCAAGACACACTTTGCAATAATTCACATTTTGCATTGAGACAATGAGTCTAGTAACTTGGATATGCCTATCAACTCGAGGAAGTCATCGACAAAAGAGTATGATTCTACTCTCCCATGAAAGATAACTGGATCAATTTTCGACATTTTGAAGATTAGGTACCTCAAGTGAAATTAGAGGTTTCTATGAATTTGATTATATAAGTAGTTTATAAAATTTGCATCCAAACGTTAATCACCGATTCTCCTTGACATTCTTGATCCGAACAGGACATCGCTAGCTCTTAACCAATAGAGAGTGTTTTTTTTGTTAGAAGATAATATTGGTAGATTTTCTTTCATATCCTTTCCCTCAAAGTAGACGATAGCTGATCGCTCATATCTCTCAATGACCCGTAGATCGATGATAAGTATGAATCTATAAGGTAACGCAATGCTCCGTCATTTCTTGCATAGACTTGGCATGTTCTGGGTCAGGTCTGATCACTGACACATGCCAAGTATGTTTTGAACACAAACAGCAATCGATAACTGATTTGGCGAGCTTTCGAAAATACGTGTTTTCTTTGTAAATCCAAGAGAGCATTGTCTTCTTGCATTCTTTGCTTGTTGTTCATAACAAACGGAATGACTGATACATGTCCGCTGTTATATCTGTGCCTGACATCTATGTCACTTTAGTTTGGTTCATCCCCTGTTCTAAGGACCATCGTGGTCTACTTATGATGTTGCTGCCTCATAGTTATCCTCCTAAACAATAAAAGTCCATCCACATGGTCTCTTTGTCATATACAGTCAATTCCTTCAAAAATATTTCAGACATTATTTTCAGACACCTCTTTATTTAAGAATATGCCGAACGGAAGTCTGCTTGTAGTAGTCCGGCAGATTGGTGCAGAAATCAGAAGAATTGTGGGTTTTATAGTAGAAGCATACCAATTGGTATGCATGTAGGGAATGATATACTGATCAATTTTGGATATGGGGCCAATAAAAAAAAAATCAAGATGGCCACCAAATCCAAGATGGTCGCCAAATATTTGCCGAGAATGGTGCAAAAATCAGGAAAATCGTGGATTTTAGGATAAAGCATAAAACTTGGCATACTGGTTGAGAATTATATACTGATCAATTTAGGCTATGGGGCCAATCTTTTTCTTTCAAGATGGCCACCAAAAATAAGATGGCCACCAATTCCAAGATGGCCGCCAAATATATGTTAAATTTAACAATTCCATACGTACATTTGTATACTCATTTGTAAGTATATTTTTGTAGTTTCTTACATTTTTTTACACAATAATTATTATCTTGTTTATGTATGAGCAGACAATCATGTAAACAAAGCTAGACTTATATATTGCCTTTAAAAGAATGGTGATGGCCACCATTTTAAGATGGCAGAAGAATTTTTCAAAACTTGCATAAAAACATATTTCCTCAGCTCAATTTTATTAATTTTAAGATAAATTCATTTCTCGTTATGATAAGTATATATGTATGACAGTGTGTGTATTGAACATTATTTTGATACTTGATGAACATTTAAAATCAAATCAATTGTGCTCACTGCATTCAAAATGGCCCTAACATATTCGTTGAAAGAAGCAAAAATTAAAATGTGTGCTATATAGTGGCCATATGGTATTTTGGGGGGTGTAACTTACTACTCTCTTGATTTAAATATCCAGCTTTTAGAACAATTTTCCTTTGAACGTCACAGATAGTTTTCTCTTTCCACGGTAGATTAAGGAAACTTAAGAACGTCAGCAACTGTTTTCATCGAACAGTTTTCTCTTTGCACAGCATATAAAGGAAAATAACGGACGTCACCGATTGTTTTTATCGGATAGTTTCTCTTTTCACAGCATCGTAAGGATTTTTTAGGACGTATTCGATTGTTTTTATCGGATATTTTTTTCTTTTCAGAGCATCGTAAGGAAATTTTAGGACGTATTCAATTGTTTTTATCGGATAATTTTCTCTTTTCACGGCATCGTAAGGAAATTTTAGGACGTATTCGATTGTTTTTATCGGATAGTTTTCTCTTTTCACAGCATACAAGGAAAACTTAAGGACGTCTCCGATTATTATAGCAAAAGCTAAGAAACGTTTATGAAGACGGCTGAAAGTATGGGTGATTCCTTAGAAAATTATTAACTGTAAAAGACAACCTAAACATTCGAAAAGATTATTGAGTACTTCTAAGTGTATTGGTTCCAAACAAAACGCAAGCGTATCGAAATGAGAAACCATGATGTGGTGTTTGTAGTATTATTGTGGAAGGAGAAGAATGTACATTCAAAAATTGGAGAAATAAGATTTAAAGTGAAAGCTAATATGAACTGTAGATCTCGGAATGTTATATATGCAAGGATCTGTGCAAGTTGTTCTGAACTAACATTGAACAAACAGTGTTGTGAATTCCGTCAATGTATGATACATCGCAGACAACAGACAAAAAGTGACCACGTAAGTAGAATGTTTGTATCATACTGCAAAATGAGTAAAGATGAAATAGTTTAAAACCAAAAGTATAATGTTTGTCATATTCCTAGCTAAAGAAAGGTAAAACAATCCGAAACCGGAAGCAGAATATTCGCTACTTACACCACAGAATGTAGATCCGTCTCCGAAGGCATATCGGCACTGGTCTTCAGCGGAAAGGGTCTTGCCGAGTGCTCCCTGCGCATGATATGCATCATAGTCTTCCGTTGAAAAATTCTGATCCGTCAAACATGCGACATAGCTGTAGATCAGAAACGTGACGGAGAACAAATGACATCAGAAACGTGCAGGACATTACTGTACATTAGAAACGGGAGGGACAAAGCCGTACATTAGAACGGGAAGGGCATAGCCGTTTATTAGAAACGGGAGGGACAAAGCCGTACATTAGAACGGGAAGGGCGTAGCCGTACATTAGAAACGTGAAGGACAAAACTGTTCATTAGAAACAGGAAGGACATAACTGTTCATTAGAAACGGGAAGGACATAAGAGTGCCGATAAGACCCTTTTTGGGCCCGGTATATCTGGATGATGTACTATTTTATTACATGCGCAAAAACTAAGGTAAAAGTTTGACCGAAAGTGGGGTTTTGCGGTACCAAAAGGGGTAGGGTAAATCACAAATACAATTCACTGTTTTCAAAATGAGCTAAAACAACTAAAATAATACAATTTCTGTTTTTGAAGTATGTGTAAATCAAACAAGTCATATATAAAAGAATAAGAAATGACAGAAATTTAGTCGTCACTTAAAGATTGTTTATATAAAACGGAGGATTAAGTCAGGGGGCTCTTTTTAGTAATTTTCAACTGAAGAGTGTTTTTTTTCCTCAATAATTTCCTTTCTAATTTATATTTTGAGTTGAAATTTACAATTTTACTCATGTGAGTACACTTACATAAAAATCTATATTCACTACGCACTTTCCATTTGTTTTATACTGAATTACGGCTTCTTGACAAATCTCAAACTTGGCAATTTCACAAACTCTCTGTCTCAAGTGAATCAATAGGTGCAGGACACCCTAAATATGCTATACGTATAAGTATTAATAGGTAATATTGTATGTTATATCAATCATATAATGTTTGCTCAACACCTGTGACTGAAGTGAGTTCCAGGTCCCGATATGTTTTCTTACTTATCAAAGTTAATTTACAAATAAATTTGCTACCACAACTACAGTAAAATTATCAATTTAATATACTTAATGAAGTTTGATTTGCTGATAATTTTAAGTCTTCTTGCCTCAAGGAAAGTATCTGTTTTAATCGTTGAAATTAACCCATTTCATTGTTGTATCAATCGCTCTGCCTTTTTCAAATGTGTTTGCGCTGGTTGCTCATAAAGGGCATTTTGGGTAAGCATGCAACTTTCACAAATTAAATATCATCCTATAACTAGCATCTATGCCAAGTTCCATGCTTATCCTAAAGTGCCTTGTATGTTCAATCAGCGCATAAACATTGTAAATAGGCAGAACGATTGATAAAACAATAAAATGGGTTAATTGTAACAATTAAAAAAGATACTTCTCTGTGCTTTGTGGTAACATCAGTGGAACATTCTGACAGAGAGCTTGACAGGTTTTAAGTAGATATAGAGAGAGAAAATAAATTTTTGTTTGTCCGCTAACAAATCTTCAAATACATACAAAATCAAATGCGGGTAACCTCAGGTGAAAAATCAAACCAGTCCCTTTACCAGAACATTTGTGGGAAACATTTTTGAAGATTGTGGCCTGTTTGTCAATAAATAATACACGCTCGTACATGGTCTATTGCTAAATAATCTATGGTTATGAAAATATTCGTTACATCGTAAACGTGGTAGAATTCATGATATTTTTTACTGATAAAATGTAATAACTGGATCTGGGAATCAGAATGGTAAATATGTGTCACTCAATGAGGAAGAAGAATCTGATCTTTAAGTATGTTGGCGGAAATCGAGGTGGAAAATTAATTTAAATATCATTAAAGGTAAACATGTGTTTAATGGTACAGTATACTTATCATAGATTACGCATACCTCGAATCTTCTTCTATTGTCTGCTGAATCTGATCTAAGGCACACGTAGACCATCGCCATGGATTGACAGCATTAGCGGTCGACATCGACGCTCTTTCCCACTTGAAAGCAGAGGCGAATTGGTCTGCAGAAGTACATGCCGCGCTGTTTTCGTCGTTTTCTGCACCGACGCTAAAACACGTTGATAAGTTAAAGTCAAGTTATCTACATACCTATAGGTTCCTCCTATAAATTGTATTTAAGCAAAGTTTCTTCATAAGATATTTCAAATTTTGCTGAAATGAACGTATGAATAGCTAGGTTTCCGCACATTGTAGAAACAGCTTGAGCTAATTTATGAAAATAATCGTTATTTAATGGTGAAATCGTGACAAATTGTTAAGAACAACGCAAATAATCTTAAGGCTCCCTATCCCACTGCAGAATATGGAATTTGTTGTTACTCACATTTACCGTAGCATCCCCTTTTTTTAACTTCGGATATAACTGTAAACATTTTGCGACAGTAGATAACCGCCAAAAAATAATTTAGCTTAAATTATTGATATTGAATAAATCAATTTTTGTTTAGGCATAAGTAAACTTGAAATATGAAGGAAAAAATATGAATTTTAACTAAATTGAAAAAAAAATGCAAAGCTTTCTTTATCAGAAAGAGTGACGCGACAACGATGATTCGTGTATATTGGCATGTTCATGTAAAATTTATGAAAAAAATACCGTACGTTTTCATTTTGTTTTGTTTTGTTTTGTTTAGTGAACTATAGTTTTGACGTATAGACTATATTATAGGTGGTGAAAGGATCATGCGACATGATTTTCGGTTAATGGCTGCCGCGCATAATATTTGAGAATTGGCGAACAGCAAACAACGTGTTGAACGGATTTCCCCACTTAGAAAAACGGAGAGACGGGAGAGCTCCGGAATACCAAGCGAAGTCAAACGAATGACATCGGACATCTGCCGATCCACTCCGGCAGAGCGAACGAATACACCCCTGTTTAGAGAGACGGTTTACAATCTGAATTCGAAGGTTTGAATTCTGCATTAGCTCTGCACAATTTTGAACTCTTCCAATTCAATGGTTGGAATAGTTCATTATGAAATTTCAGGGGTGAATGAGTTAAATATAATTTACTCGGAATAAACATTTACTAATACTGCAGAAACTCAGTTTTACAAGGGTGTGCATATACAGGGACTTCATACAAAATTCTTCAACAAAACCGCCCTACATTCTCATTCTTAGAGCGACTATTATTAAAAAAATACGCACAACTCAAACCCGAATCTAACCGTTATACATATTTTTGCTGCATGTGTTCCTGAATAGCATACACAATCAAAATGTGGTTTCATTTCACACAAGCAGGAACTGTGACAAATCAATTTTTCCATCGATGTCGGACTTATTAATGGAAAATCCCAAATGGTTTTCAGCCCTACTTTAGTATCCATGGAAAATATCTGCTTTAATATTTCTACGAGATGGTCTTACAATGGAACTCAATGGAGCCTCAAAAAGATAATATTTTTTTAAATTTTCAATTTACTAAATATCATTATGCAAACAATAATTTTGAACATTTTTAAGGGAATGCAACATGGAACATGTTTCTGAACAATCTATAGAAATGTTTCAATCCCTGTGGCGGGCCGCGTTAGCGAAGTGGTTAAGGCGTTTGACATTCTGCTACCACTAGCCCTCCACCACTGGGTCGCGGGTTCCAGGCCTACGTCCACAGTCGCCAGGTACTGGCCATTGGTCGGTGGTTTTTCTCCGGGAACTCCGGATTTCCTCTACCACCAAAACCTGACACGTCCTTCAATGACCATAGCTGTTAAATGGACGTAAAACACAAACAAACCAAACCAAATCAATCCATTTGGAGACGTCATAATTGTACGTATGGGAATTCTTCGAAGAAATGCTGTAACAATTAACTTACTGCATCGCGAAGAAGTGGGCTGTGTTGAATCCTACCCCTCCGTCTCTGATCATAGTTACGCTGACACGTGCGGCAGCTACGACACGACACATCAAGTCACGTTGAAAGATGGCTCCTAGATAATACAGAAGTATAATTACATACTACCCCCTTCATGAAATAACTTCTCCCGCAATAAATATGTATTTCGCTGGACTGTCCCTTATCAACGACTTCAAATACAGCAATCGGAAACAATACGGAAAGTGCCGATGATTCCCGTTTGCAAATATGAAATGCTTCACATTCAAAAGTTGAATTAAACTGAATTACTTTTCTGTCTTTAAGAAACATTCCCACACACTGTAATGAATTTTAGTAGACTATTTACTTTTAGTAAGAAGTATACACACGCTTCAGCTATACACATTTTGGGTTATCTGCCCTTATAAAAAAAAAACACAAGCGCTACAATTGAAATACAATAAATTATACACTATAACTGGAGTATACTGGATTAGTTATGCAAATCAGCATGTCCCAGCTCGCCATAGCAGGAATACACTGATATTTTAGCCTTTCTCAACAGGCGTATGACCTATTTATCAATAGTTATACACGGGAACTATAATTTTATTTCACAGAACCATCCGCCTTACACAGCAAACACGGTATCCCAGTGTATTGTCTACCGTAGTTATTCCTAATATTTACAAACAATAAAAAACTGTTTACAAATAATGCTGAACTGTCGCACAATCAGCAGGAACATTTTATTGAAACCAAACATTCCCAGCGAATAACTTACCGCAACCAGTAACCCCGGTCGAGTCCACCACCTCATAGCTAGTGGAGAAATATAATTTGTTATATATGCAATATTAACGAAATAACGCACGTAAATATTCAAATCAAAGGGAGACAAAAACTGTTTCGAGTTCTATGACACTGTTTATTTACAAAATGCAGTCGGAAACATTAACTCATTTACCCCTGAAATTTTATAAAGAACTATCCCAACCTTTGAGTTCAAATGTGTCTTAAGGGGTAAATGAGTTAAAATCGTTGTATACTTGTTGATAAAACTTAAAATGTTAAGGACCATATATCGTTGTATAATTAGGAATTATTTCAATTAATTAATTTCAATTAATTCGGGATTCGAAAATGTTGGACAAATAAATAACTCAGGCCGTTAATTATTTTTACCAACATTTTCTCACCCTCGTTATATATTGCACCATAATGCACGCACATAAGTTGATTATTTTTATTCTACCACGTCGAATGTTACTAATTGTAAAGTTTTGCTGTCTTATAAGGCGACATGACCTAGATAATTCGATATGCAAATTAGACGCTCTATTGCGCGTGCAAGATTTATCACGAGATCGTGTTGCCTCGTTTTAACTTGATCAATGTCGCGCCAACATTTCTTAGGGGGTAGGGTTGGGATTCTCGGATTGCGTTTACTTCTAAAACCATCATCATCGTACCGATATCAAGCGGATTTTCTTGGAAGTGCCAGTGATACAACATCATACGATAGGCCTGACATGAGTTGGCATATTTAGTTGGTTGCCATGACGTGATGGAAAGTCGCTGACCGGCTGATCATGACGCGACCTTCAAATTGCCCCTTTTTGGCCCCGCCCCTCAGCCCCCTGGGGGGTCAGCCCCACCAGTTGTACAGTTTTGAATCCCCACCCCCTAGGGATGCTTCCAGTCCAATATAGTTGATATCCATCACTTAGTTCCAGAGAAGAAGTCGCTTAAAGCAATATAGCCAAATTGCCCCCTTTTGGCCCCGCCCCTCAGCTCCTGGGGGTCAGCCCCACCATCTGTACAATTTTGAATCCCAACCACCTAGAGATGCTTCCAGTCAAATTTAGTTAAATTCCAATCAGTGGTTAAGAAGTAGAAGTCGTTTAAAGCAATTGTTGACATACAGACGACGGACGACGGACGCCACGGTATGGCATAAGCTCACCTTGGTCCTTCGGACCAGGTGAGCTAATAAATGTTACGTTTCATGTTAAAGACAATATATCTTTGTATTAAATTACTTTACCTGTAAGGGATAATCAGAACTTTTTTTGTATGTGTCGATTCTATCTTAAATATTAAGAGCCACCAATTGAAGTGATAAAAACGTACCTAAATTGATGGATAGTTTAAAGATAAAAGGATATTCGTACTTACGCCGTCAAGAGATTCATGAAATCGTAGCTGTTGGCAATGCCCGCAGGACCTTCAAGTGCAAATGCTTGATTTAATACATCGCTCATGTAAGCAGTACTTGATGTGATCACCCCATTTGAGACGACACCTTCAGACCATTGACAGTCACTGCTTTGCTAAAAATAAAAAATAAACAGTTTTTGGTGCGAAACATGTTTCAATAAAGACAAGTTATTGCTAAAATATTCGGTGTAGATGGCTAATACAATATAACAATAAATGTCACGTACCCCCTTCTCTCTCTCCATTTGTATGGCTTGTGTTTATGATGTGATTTTGTGCCATATGTGTGTGTGTTTTTATATTAACGGTGGATGTTTGTTGAAATTGATGTCCATGTTTATTTGTCATATTATGTATTTATGTGTTTCATGTCGTCGGAGAACAACTCGTAGCCAATGGCTGTTCGTAATCCTCGTAAAACAATCATAGTTCATTTCCATTCGGAACACAGTTTACACAGTTCCTTTAGAAAATGACAAAACCCACACAACCAAGAAAATTCCTCTATTACCAATGTGTGAAATCACGTGACCTCTAATGATTCAATCCAAGGAAAAATGGCGGGGGAAAAAGCTGCAAACATCGTAGTCTCGGTCAACCAGACTCTTATTGTCTACGCAAGCTACGCCGAACACATAAGTGATCAAGCGTCTGGTTGAACGAGACTACAAACCTCGAGGAACAAATAATAATATAAAATATACGTTTTCTGTTTTAAAATGTAAAATTTCGACGTTCAAAATAAAAAAAGAAATCAATTACCATATTTTTCTACAATTGTTTAAAACTTCGTTGTTTAATGTGAATTACATCTAAGATAAGTCATGTCGAATATGGGTATTTATTATTAAAAAAACCCGTCCAAAAATGGTAGAAAACAACGGCAAATAGGTTGTTATCAAGTTGACGTCCCATTTTTTACCTTTAAAGTTAATGTTCGTTATGGCCTTCAGATAATATACAGCATATATATATGTACAAACAATGCAATATAAAGTACAAACACGAGGGAATAAGTAGGGTACAACTCTATTGTGAGCACATGTAATCACCTTAACGAACTGTGAGGTTCTTTATTTTATATGTAACTTGAACTGATGAACACGGACACCGTGCATTTTTACATAAATCATTTCATTGTTGTGTGAATTTCGTATGAACAACTATTATAAAAAACAAAATGGGGGGGGGGGGGGGGGGCAGTTCTTTCAGCTGGAACCAATGTAAAATATATATTTATCTGTAATGTAATAAGATTGTGTTTTTGAACGTGACAAATGTTTCACTTCAAATTTCCATATTTTCATTTCACTCAGACATACGCTAGTATGTTATTATGTGATGGTACTTTTATTTACTTATGAACTTGTTTGCAACCGATGAAAGATTTTTTTACTTTATCTAAAAAAAATGGGGGGGGGGGGGATTAATTGATATCAGTGCATGTAGGATATAAACTCCATCAGTTGTAGAGTGGTTCCTTCTTAAGCCAGCATCAAACGATTATTAAGTATATATGTGAAAAAAAATCTTAAGCAAGAAACGAGTCGAGACTTCTTACTGTATGCACGTCTTTCGAATTTAATTTATTTTTAATGTAAATGTTTAATTACACCACTCTTCCGCGAATCTGAAATACAAGCAGTATCTAAACTGCTTCTATTGTCTATTCTTTATGAACAGATCACTTCTTGTTTCACGTAAAAATTCATCATCGGCATGAGTTTCTCGTTTACGGAAAATGCCGACCGTTCCCGATTTATTCTATGGTAAGGTTATGAGAAGATAACTCCAGATTGTTAGAAACAACGCTTTTTGAGGTGATACCTCTGTAGGTTGTGAATATATATTATAAATCTTACCTTGCATATTTCTAAGTGTACAAGCATCAAGCTACAACTGAAGGAAACCCCGGCACCGTTTTCTTGATATTGCACATCAAGGTTCCTGACACGGGTGTCAGCCTGTAGTTTAAAATGTGACACAATTAATTGTACTTACATTTTTTTTAAATCATTGGAAACACTGGAAAAAAGTTTAAATCATGAATGTTTATTTCTAAAATTTGATGCAAATTCAATAAAAGATGAATAACCATTCAAAACAATACCATTTATATATATAATGAAATTCGATTTTGTTTTATTTCTGAGAAATAGGGACAAACTACAAAAAACTTGCCTTATGTGTCAGCTTTGTTGATCTATCTTAACCTCGCAAATCCGGAAACATGTTCGGACTTGTATGTTAGGAGTGAACACGGAATACCAAAGTTTATCTTTATACACAAACATTGTACTTATCAAACGTGTCGCAACGTTTCAAGACCGACTTGTCCTTTTGGCAAGCTATTAACTACATATTTCAAAACTGATGAATCTTGTTAAAGGAGGAAAAAAGCTTCAGAGGAAGTTGTTAAATGTATCTGCGTCGGGATTAGCGAGATTCAGAAGCTTTAGAGAATCGAGTCTTACGTCATTCATGAGCGCTATAGCGTACGTCTCTGCATCGGCGTCTGCTGCGGTCTCCGTACCTGATACAGCTAAAATCCTGGAATTAATGGAATTAATTAATAAATACATATATTGTGTGGTAAGCACGTGTAAATAGTAGCTAAACACTGGTGAATAGTACTTAAACACATGGGGCCTGTTCGTTTATGCGGAACAACCGGTTTGTCTGTTTTTTAATGTATCATTTTTTTTTTTTATAAATCCCGGCGGACATGCAAAAGTTCATGCATGCCTTGCAAGGCATGATAAATGAAAGCACCCCCATGTTGTATTGTACAGCGAACAGCAACAACAGAAAATTAAAGACATGTTGCGTGGTTTAACAGGTGTAATTATGAGTTACACACTGATATAAGGTAAGTTGTTGTACAGGTGCGGGAAAAAAATCGCACGGAGAAGTTAAACGAATGTTTTAGATCAACAGCCCGAAAGTTGGTACCTGAATGAGCTGTATGTGTGTCAAAAACGCATTCAAAGTCGCGAATACCCCCAATGTTTTACTGCATATTGTTCAAAGTAGCAACTTTGACGGCCAATCTCTACCCAGAGTTTTCCCCCTTACAATCTGGGTAGAGATGGCTTTGACAGCATGTACAAAATATGTACGGCACATATCCAAGATTGTTTTCTGATTGTGGACATCAGGATAGTGTGTGTTATCTAAATTTGCTGAAATAGATAACACACACTATCCTGATGTCCACAATCAGAAAACAATCTTGGATATGTGCCGTACATATTTTGTACATGCTGTCAAAGCCATCTCTCTTGCTGAAATAGTTAATATTATTACCTGGGTGTCTGCCAAGAAACTAAGAAAGTCTGGATTAATGACCATATTTCCTTATTTCATCTTTGGAACAATAATTGCTGTTGTTATAAAGGCAGTTGGATTGGAGAAGATATTATCATCTTTCAAGTGAGAATTTTGTAACAAACTGCTGGAAACTTTGGGTGGGAATTATCTTTGATGTGGAAAATAGTATGGGAACAAAAAGTGCCAGAAACTGTAATTGGAATAGGAAACGTGACAATGTGTTCAGAATTGTTGTGGAAACGTGACAACTCTGTGTAACAGGGCTGTAATGGTATATAATGAGTGATTTAAGTGTCATTTCTGTGTTAAATCAGGGCATTGTACTCGGTTATTCGAGGGAGTGTACTCTGGTAGCAATAATTAAAACAAATTACTCATACTTGCCAACCTTTTAAAATTTCCATTGGACAAATTGTGCATGAAAATGCTAAATTTTAGGGTCCAAAATTGGAGTCTCCTTCCTTAATAGGGAGAGTTGGCAAATATGATTAATAAAACATTGTTATTTAATTTTATTTTATTTTGCTGAGTTGTGTACAGTTTTCAGTTTTAATCTGTCAATTTAATTAATCATTTCATCACAAATGCACTGATTTATCATTGGGGTACATCTTTTATACCCTGAGGAATGAAATGTGAAAATGCTTATATAGATATGGTAAAATATGTAGAATGAGTCGAGGTGGAATATTAAGTTTGATCGGGTTCATAGACTAATCCCCAGCACCAGCACATCCCAAGTATCGATCATGACAAAATAGCTGCTGAGTCGATATCTACACTCTGATAGAAAATGTATGTATCTCTATAGTGCTATTTATCAGAAGTTTTTGTTTTTGTTATTTCAGGAAAAAAATTGTTGGATTAAAAGAAAAAGAATAAACATTAACATGCAATAATTTATCAATTTATAAAAATTCCTGCTGTGTATTTTTGCTTGCTCACCTCTCTTACATAATCAATTAAGTAAACGCTATGGTGCAGTGTCTGACGTCCATTGTCTATTCTGAACTCTTCTTTTAAAATACATGTACTATAAAAGCAACAGAACGAATATTGTATCAATTTGGTACGTTAGATCCTAATGAGAAATAGGCATTAATCTTTAAAAAGCTACTCCTGAAGTATGGATGAAGGGATTTTGACCAGATTTGACATGGAGCATTCCTTGATTTTCAACTTCTCAACTTATACTTGCTAACTGGTTACCAAACTATAAACTTTAAAAATAATGCTCTAACAGTTCTGAACAGGTGCTGTTATCTTTCATGTTGATTACAATTTCAAAATGGCAACATGTGGTCTGTCCCCCGGCCCCATTTTTATATCATCAATGCTTTCATGGTTCTAAACTTATTATTTGGGTTGATTTGAAAGTGCAAAGTTTCGTATGAGGTTTGTCAAGACTAACCTTTAGACCTTGAACGATAACGTAACAAAACTTGAAGTGTAGATTTATTCCCATGTGAAAGTGTATAGTGCACGGTGATGTTCACCTCATGGTCAAAAATTAAAACAAGTGCAAACCTTTTGAGTAAAATCATGGTTTGGCCATAACTTTGAAATGTTTTGAGACATTTTTATGAAACCTGAAATACACCTGCATCATCCCCAGAAAGTGTGCACTGGGAAATAATTAGTTCACATTGACCTTTACAATCAGTTCATAGACAAAAAGCTGGATAAGTACAAGATTAATCTTGTCTGGACCATAACTTTAAATTATTATGTTGATGAAACCTTAAGTATACCTGCATCAAACATAGAAGGTGTACAGTAGATGTGATCACAATGATCTTCACCTCAAAGTAAGTAGTACTTCTACAGTAGGTGAGCAGTTACAGCCCCGATGGACCTCTCGATATTTATTATACAATAATTCAGGTAATTTGATTTTCATTATTGTCTTCATTAATTAATCATGATGTTTTAATCTGTCGAAGGGCATTTTATAATCCAATAATTCTTGTTTGATCTAAAACAATTGTGCACATGATCTCCCTTTCAACAAATTTACTTTGTATTTGATCATCAAGAGCAATTTATCTCAGAGGGGAAAATGTAAAAATATTAACCTTTATCAGCTAATTAACAATTTTGCTTGACCAAAAGTTTATAAATCTTTCACGACAGTGAGCTAAATGCAAAACTTTTTCAAAATGTTAAAGTCCTTGATAATTTCATGTAGAATAAATGTCTTAAGTAAAATTTAAAACATGGTCACTTGATTAAATTTTGGTTGCCATCAGTCAAATTTTAAGGGTCAAAGTTCAGACTTTACAATATTTGAATTGAAGTAATATCTTTTTGTACAACACAAGGTTAAAGGTTCAAGGGTCACACTTCAGCAGGGCTGGGGGTATACCACTAACTTTGTTTATATTCTTTAACCCTTTCACCCCATGTAACTTTAGTAGACTCTACCATGCATTTATATGGATGATTCCATCATGGTCTACAGTGGTGAAAGGGTTAAAGGAACGGAAACATCTTTCTGTCAGTCATTATCTACCTGGTATGGAACTTGTACAGTCTGTGCCAAATGTAAAATACTATTTCACATTATTCTTGTCATTCTATTTTGTAGACATACCATTATCAGTCCATTAATATATATATTTATTTGTCAGTTAATGATTTGGTACTGTTGTAATCTATATTTAATTTTACATTTGAGATGCACCTCATGATGTAATTGTTGGAAATTCTTTATATATTTTTTACATCCTCTTGAATGATGATCTGGAAAGATAACTAGCACAAATTTATTTTTGTTTTTATTGACTTTCCATTGTATTGGCATAAAATAAACACCATAGTGTAATGATAAAAAAATAAAAAAAAATAAAAATAAAAATAAAAAAATGCTGAAATAGAAAAAAACATTTTGTTTTTATCTCACTGTTGGTCAAGTTTAAGTCAAACATGGAGAAGTGCGCAATACCTTTTTCAAACAACTACAATTTCTATATAAGTTGCCTCGGTCAATATCCCTTTCTCCGGTTCATATTATCAGACTCTTTCATGCCAAGGGGTGTAGGATAGGGACATTCCACCCGAGGGGTTTTCAAATTTGGTAAAACCCGAGGCTTTGCCGAGGGTTTTGCCATATTTTAAAATCCCGAGGGTGGAATTTCCCTATCCTTCACCCTTGGGCATGAAAGAGTATTTTTCTCTCATTCCAGCCACCAGAATAAGCTCAGAAACCATGAAAATGCGTTTGGACTGGCCACGGTTTGAAAATATCAATTTTTCAGACGAAAACGAATTAGCCAGCCAGATTAAGCATATCCAATATTTGCAAAAATTGTTTGCACATAAAAATTAATTTCATCTTTCTAACGTGTATCGTAAATATATCGTAAAAGGTTTTAATTCATCACGTCGCCTTTTCCGCATTGCGGCATCGGAGAGTTCAAAATTCGTGACGCAACGTCATTGTTGAGCCATTTTGACGTCATGTCACGTTAAATGGGGTGGAAGTAATCCCCAATGAGGGGTATGTAATTCGTACACCCCTTTCTTACCCTGGACAGCTCTATCTTACACACACGGAAATGAGAGGATATCTTATCTTACCTGTCCTAACCTGGATTATCTTATCTTACCTGTACCAGCCTGGATTATATTATCGTACCTGTCCCAGCCTGGATTGTCTACCCTTACCTGTCCCAGTCTAGATTATCTTACTTGTCCAAGCCTTGATTATTCTATCTCACCTGCCCCTGTCTGGATTATTTAATCACTCCAGTTTCACCCTGGATTAACTTATCTTACCTGTCCTAGCCTGGATTATTTTATCTCACCTGTACCAGCCTGGATTATCTCACCTGTCCCACCCTGGAGTATCTTATCGTACCTGTCCTAGCCTGAATGATCTTACCTTACAACTCCTAGCATGGCTTATTTTATCTCACCTGTCCGAGTCTGGATTATTTTATCTCACCTGCCCCTGTCTGAATTATCTTACCTGTCCTAGCCTGGATTATTTTATCTCACCTGTCCCAGCCTGAATTATCTCACCTGTCCCACCCTGGATTATCTTATCGTACCTGTCCTAGCCTGAATGATTTTATCTTACAACTCCTAGCCTGGATTATTTTATCTCACCTGTCCGAGTCTGGATTATTCTATCTCACCTGCCCCTGTCTGAATTATCTTACCTGTCCTAGCCTGGATTATTTTATCTCACCTGTCCCAGCCTGAATTATCTCACCTGTCCCACCCTGGATTTTCTTATCGTACCTGTCCTAGCCTGAATGATCTTATCTTACAACTCCTAGCCTGGATTATTTTATCTCACCTGTCCGAGTCTGGATTATTTTATCTCACCTGCCCCTGTCTGAATTATCTGATATGTCCTAGCCTGAATTATTTTTTCAACTATCCCAGTCTGGATTATCTTATCTTACCTGCCCAAGCCTGGATTATCTCACCTGTCCAGGTCTGGATTATCTTACCTTACTTGTCCCAGTCTGGATGATCTCACCTTACCTGTCCCAGTCCGGATTATCTCACCTGTCCCAGCCTGGATTATCTCACCTGTCCTAACCTGGATTATCTCACCTGTCCTAGCCTGGATTAGCTCATCCTACCTGTCCCAGACAGGATTGTCTAACCTAACCTGTCTCAGTCCGGATTATCTCACCTGTCCCAGCCTGGATTATCTCATCTTACCTGTCCCAGTCTGTATTATCTAACCTTACCTGTCCCAGTCTGGATTATCTCATCTCACTTGTCCCAGCCTGGATGATCTAATCTTACCTGTCTCAGCCTGGATTATCTTACCTTACCTGTCCTAGTCTGGATTATCTTACCTTACCTGTCCTAGTCTGGATTATCTTACCTGTCTCAGTCTGGATTCTCTAACCTTACATGTCCTAGTCTGGATTATCTCCTTGCCTCAGTCTGGATTATCTAACCTTGCCTGTCCTAGTCTGGATGATCTAACCTTACCTGTCCTAGTCTGGATTATCTCACCTGTCTCAGACTGGATTATCTCACCTGTCTCAGTCTTGATTATCTCACCTGTCTCAGTCTCGATTATCTTACCTTCCCTGTCCTAGTCTGGATTATCTCCCCTGTCTCAGTCTGGATTATCTTTCCTTGCCTGGCCTAGTCTGGATTATCTCACCTGCCTCAGTCTGGATTATCTCACCTGGCTCAGTCTGGATTATCTTACCTTACCTGTCCTAGTCTGGATTCTCTCACCTGTCTCAGTCTGGATTATCTTACCTTACCTGTCCTAGTCTGGATTATCGCACCTGTCTCAGTCTCGATTATCTCACCTGTCTCAGTCTGGATTATCTTACATTGCCTGTCCTAGTCTGGATTATCTCACCTGTCTCAGTCTGGATTATCTTACCTTGTCTGTCCTTGTCTGGATTATCTCACCTGTCTCAGTCTGGATTATCTCACCTGTCTCAGTCTGGATTATCTAACCTTGCCTGTCCTAGTCTGGATTATCTCACCTGTCTCAGTCTGGATTATCTAACCTTGCCTGTCCTAGTCTGGACTATCTGTACGTACCGTGTCCACACTGACAGATCCATCCAAACAACCATCTCACCAACATAATCGGTGTCTATCGCTCTTCGCTTTCTCGAATTAGCGATCTGCTCCTTTCCAAACTTTTTAAACTTTTCGCTTCCTTCAAGCTGTTTGATCACTGAAAAGTGGGTTAGACGTATTGAATCACTTAAAATGAAAATGTACAGGGTATGAATATAACCCGTTATAACAAAATGCTACATGGGCTTACGTTCTCAGAAGTATGAACTATTCTATTCTTTTCAAATCGAAAATGAACTTTTTTTATCAGGACAGTTCCAAATGTACCAAATATAACAAATATTTTACTGAATATTTTAACGACCAGCCAATGCATTAACATGATACAAGTTCAAGTTCAAAGTTCAAATATTTTATTTTCGTGTCAAACACATAGTATTCAAAAAATCACAATACATATATACCTTTGAATATTAAATGTGTCTAGCCAAAATGACTTAGACACGTTATAAGAGCAATCACACTATTTACTATCTTCAGACATGTAATGTTATTAACCAGTCTTTGTAAAAACAATTGTGCTTGATAAAAAATATGCAAGTAATTAACTAGTAGCAGGACTATGATATGCATATATGCATATATATACACAATACATATATATAATACCATGTACCCCAACAGGGTAAGAGATAAACAAGAGTGGTTGGGCCTATCCCTACCGACACATTATATATCCCCAACCCCATACCTGCACATCTAATTGTAATACATAATTTAATATAGTTATTAAATATTAATATTAATTATACATTGTCCTACGGTAAAGAGGCAGTTACACATTAGATATGATTCGTTCATTCACCCCTGTCACATTTGAACTCTTCCAAGTCAAAGGTTGGAATAGTTCATTATGAAATCTCATGGGTGAATGAGTTAACGGAAGATATTGTATGAACATAACTTGCAAAATAAGCCAGAAAGGAGGCACTTTTATTGAATGATAAATCTTTACTTTGTTCAATCTTTATCATAATATTTTTGCTTTCACTGCAAAACCGGTGGCGGATGACAATATAAAGCATATTGTCATTGTGGCGGATGGTTTTTTCTTCCGCTCACCTTTGCTTATATTTTATAGACGTTTTAATTTGTTTGAAGAAATAAATGGATTTTTTCGAAATCATGTGTTACTCAGATCAAGAATTATTAAAAGAAGTTTTTATCCAAATTTTTCAGAATATGAATAAAAAATTGCGGCCACTTCCTAAAAAGTGAGCCAATTTTTCGCAAATCACAAATGTTTTGGTGTTATTTTGTTGGAGAATTGATGAGACATTAAGCAAACAGAGCTTCACAGCATGGAGATAGTTATAATCACTTGACAGATACATGTATAATTATATAGAAGGTATTGGGAGGAGGTCAAGAGACAGCACAAGAACTTTTAAGATCGTCAGCACAATATTTAGGTTTTGCAGTAAAAGCAAAAATGAGAGTTTGTAAAAAACAAATGTGTTTTTGCATGTACTGCCCATTTTGTTTTAATTCAGTGTTTTTGTTTACATTAGCGGGCTAGCTCATCGCCACGCCCCCTAACCCAGAAAAGGCGATTGCCACATCCGGGTTCGTAGATCAGAGGTCAAATCTCATTGGTCAGTTTAACTTGGCAGCTAAATATTTAGAAGATTTTTTTTTCAGAAGATCGCCATCTTTATTGATACAGTCACAGCAATTTAATTTGAATTTTCAACATCTTGTGCTTGCCCTCCCATCCCACCTTGTTTTTTGTTTGTATTTACTTGGTTTAATTTATCAGATGATATGAATGTACATTTCAAAGATGAGTGACTAAAGTCTTTGTCAGACACTTCATATATGTATACTATTGTCATTCCATATATGTATACTATTGTCATTTTGGCGGATGGTTTTTCTTCCGCTCACCTTTGCTTATATTTTATAGACATTTTAATTTGTTTGAAGAAATAATTGGATTTTTTTCGAAATCATGTGTTACTCAGATCAAGAATTAGTAAAAGAAGTTTAACAAAATGTTCGATCAAAATTACCAACCAGTCGTTCGTAAGCAAACTGATGCATAAACGACACACCAACAAGCACAAGATGTTGAAAATTCAAATTAAATTGCTGTGACTGTATAAATAAAGATGGCGATCATTTAGCTGTCAAGTTAAACTGACCAATGAGCTTTCACCTCTGATCTAGGAACCCGGATGAGGCAATCGCCTTTTATGGGTTAGGGGGCGTGGCGATGAGCTAGCCCGCTAATGTAAACAAAAACACTGAATTAAAACAAAATGGGCAGTACATGCAAAAACACGTTTGTTTTTTACAAACTCTTCTTTGTTTTTAAACAAGTGAACATTGGAGTTGGTTTGTCGGTCACGTGATCCTTGGACCACAGTATGATTACAATAGTGTAGTGTTCTCTACGCTAACGTGCGTGCCGCGGTGGCCAAGTGGTTAAGGCGTCTGACATTCTGCTACCACTAGTCCTCCACCACTGTGTCGCGGGTTCGAGACCTCCGTGGGGCCGTCGCCAGGACGTAGGTTGGTGGTTTTTCACCGGGTACTCCGGCTTTCCTCCACCACCAAAACCTGGCACGTCCTTAAATGACCATAGCTGTAAATAGGACGTAAAACACAAACAAACAAACCACGTAAACGTACCTGCTTTAGCATCGCCATTAACGTTGATAAATCGCCGGTTTCTTACGTCAAGTAGACTAATTTCGTACGGAGAGTATATCCCGTCACCAGAGGGCTGAATTTGGTACATTTCTTTTCCATATGAAAATGTCCCATACTGGATTAAAATCAGAAAAAAATCAGAAAAATGCACTGCTGAAACGTAACGCTATAAACCGCTAATGAATTAATTCAACCTCTTTTTACATAGAACCATCTAAGTGATGAAATGGAGAGAAAAAAATTCTACCACACTGCAATCGTCTCCTTAACGTAAACTGTACCGACAAGTAAAACTACATTGTTACCGATATCAGTGTTGTAAAAAAATGTTTCAGACCTTTTCAAAAGAAATATTCCACAAAAAAACAGATGTTGCCATGCATTTGACAGAAATGTAGTTGTTTAAAATTTGAAGGTTTGAAACTAGAAGTATAAATAGAAAAAAAAAGAACTTCTGAGGGTCGAAAAGTGAACATTTACATTTAAAAGCATGCACTCGACCAATGGTTTCAAACTGGAACGCGTATGAAAATTTTGATAAGGGGAAGTTACTCTAAGCCAGACAAACTCGATTAGGTTGCTCTATCTTCTATATAGTGTGTGAAATGCTTAGAGTTAAAAAAATACTCTGATTGGAACTCTTCTTGGCGATAAAAACTGACGCCGTGGTACCCTTTAACTTAATTTGGAAATAATAAAAACTGACGCCGTGGTACCCTTTAACTTAGTTTGGAAATAATAAAAACTGACGCCGTGGTACGCTTAAACTTAACTTGGAAATCATAAAAACTGACGCCGTTGTACCCTCACACTTACTCTGGAAATAATATAAACTGACGCCGTGGTACCCTTTAACTTAGTTTGGAAAACATAAAAACTGACGCCGTGATACCCTTTAACTTAGTTCGGAAATCATAAAAACTGACGACGTCGTACGCTTAAACTTAATTTGGAAATCATAAAAAATGACGCCGTGGTACCCTTTATCTTAGTTTGGAAATCATAAAAACTGACGCCGTGGTACCCTTTAACTAAGTTTGGAAATCCTAAAAACTGACGCCGTGGTACCCTTTAACTTAATTTGGATATAATAAAAACTGACGCCGTTGTACCCTTTAACTAAGTTTGGAAATCCTAAAAACTGACGCCGTGGTACCCTTTATCTTAGTTTGGAAATCATAAAAACTGACACCGTGGTACCCTTTAACTAAGTTTGGAAATCCTAAAAACTGACGCCGTGGTACCCTTTATCTTAGTTTGGAAATCATAAAAACTGACGCCGTTGTACCCTCTAACTAAGTTTGGAAATCCTAAAAACTCACGCCGTCGTACCCTTTAACTTAGTTTGGAAATCCTAAAAGCTGACGCCGTGGTACCCTTTAACTTAGTTCGGAAATCATAAAAACTGACGACGTGGTACCCTTTAACTTAATTTGGAAATCATAAAAACTGACGCCGTGGTACGCTTTAACTTTATTTGGAAATCATAAAAACTGACGCCGTGGTACGCTTTAACTTTATTTGGAAATCATAAAAACTGACGCCGTGGTACGCTTTAACTTTATTTGGAAATCATAAAAACTGACGCAGTGGTACCCTTTAACTTAGTTCGGAAATCATAAAAACTGACGACGTGGTACCCTTTAACTTAATTTGGAAATAATAAAAACTGACGCCGTTGTACCCTTTAACTAAGTTTGGAAATCCTAAAAACTGACGCCGTGGTACCCTTTATCTTAGTTTGGAAATCCTAAAAACTGACGACGTGGTACGCTTTAACTTTATTTGGAAATCATAAAAACTGACGACATGGTACCCTTTATCTGAATTTGGAAATCCTAAAGACTGACATAATGTCTGCTTTAACTTATCAACTGCTTACCAGTTCACAGGACGCCGAGGTCAGATGAGCACATCGCATGGTGATGGAAGAGCTTCCTTCCGTGTTCTGGTACATCGCGTGTGTCTGGTAACATTAAAAAACATGTAGACAAATACAATATATATTTCATGCTGTTTTGATAATCGGTTTAATAATATAAATATACATAGAAAAAACTCACAAAAAATCATATACATTAGTATTGGGAAGGCAATTGATGGACAAGTTTTATCTACATAGAAATATTGCAGCGCCATATCGAACAAATTGTAATAAAATATTGCATCGCCTGGTGATTTTTGACAATGTTGAAATCTATTTGCCAATTATCTTGCGAAAACAAAAATGGGGAGGGAGGTAAGACAAAACAAAACAATAACAGACCAATTTATAGTCCCCTGCGGTCAAAACATGTTGCGGAAAAAACTTCGCTTTTATAAATGAACAAGGGGCCATAACTATGCATATTATCGAACAAAGGTCAGATGTTAGCATTTGACACTCCGCGTATCCAAAGAGGTAATCACATATCCATTTCGGGAATTGTAGTTTAAATAGGATTTGAAATATACGGATTGGTGGACGGACTTACTGACGGACAAAGTGCAAAACTGACGGACAAAGTACAAACCTATCGTCCTTCCGGTAGTACCGACAGACGGACTGACTAAGAAAGTACAAACATATCGTCCGACCGAAAGTACCAACGGACTGACGGACGGACAGAGAACAAAAATATCGTCCTTCCGGTAGTATCGACGGGCTGACGGGCTGATTGACGGACAGAGAACAAAGATATCGTCCTTCATGTATACCGACGGATTGAATGACTAAGAAAGTACAAACAAATCGTCCGGTCGAAAGTAAAATGGATTGACGGACGGACAGAGAACAAAGCCATCATCCTTCCGAAAGTACCGACGGCCGGCCGGACAGACAGAGAACAAATCTATCGTCCTTCCGAAAGTACCGATAGACTGACGGACGGACAGATAACAAACATATCGTCCTTCCGGAAGTACCGACGGACGGAATGCCAGAGAAAGTATAGTCCTATCGTCCTGTCAGTGGTATCGACAAACTGTCGGACGGACGGACAGACAGAGTAGAAGCCTATCGTCCTCCGGAAGTAACGATGGTAGATTAACGAGGTTGATTAGAACAAGCTAACAGTCTCATTGCGTTGGTTACTATATCAATAGGAAATAGCATGTAAATTTGTATTTGTGTTTCCTTTCTACATTACTTATGAAACCTACCAACCATTTTTGTAGGCGAAAATTGTGAAAAATAGGACCCCGCGAAAAATGAAATCCTATTAAGAGGACATGAATTAAATATCACTACGATCAGTATTTCATTAATATTCAAATACACGAGATAGTAAGCCATTTGCCTACATTATGATAATGTACTAAAGATAACGGATGCTCAGTCTGGATTATCTAACCTTACCTGTCCTAGTCTGGATTATCTCACCTGTCTCAGTCTGGATTATCTAACCTTACCTGTCCTAGTCTGGATTATCTCACCTGTCTCAGTCTGGATTATCTAACCTTGCCTGTCCTAGTCTGGATTATCTCACCTGTCTCAGTCTGGATTATCTTACCTTGCCTGTCCTAGTCTGGATTATCTTACGTTACCTGTCCTAGTCTGGATTATCTAACCTTACCTGTCCTAGTCTGGATTATCTCATCTGTCTCAGTCTGGATTATCTTACCTTGCCTGTCCTAGTCTGGATTATCTCAACTGTCTCAGTCTGGATTATCTCACCTGTCTCAGTCTGGATTATCTAACATTGCCTGTCCCAGCCTGGATTATCTTACCTTACCTGTCCTAGTCTGGATTATCCGGAGGACCCCGCGAAAAATGAAATCTTATTAAGAGGACATGAATTAAATATCACTACGATCAGTATTTCATTAATATGCAAATACACGAGATAGTAAACCATTTGCCTACATTATGATAATGTACTAAAAATAACGCATGCGCACCATTAAAGAACGACGCATCCTTTTTGTCGAGAATCTTGAGTCGGTTGCTTTAACTGTTGGTATTTTTCCGGTAGCGAAGTCCTTCCGGTAGAGTTGAATTTCCAGCGGTTTCCCTTGCAGCAAAAAATGGAACATAAATTCCTGTGGAAAGGCGAAATCATCCGTAGACCGCTTCTGACGGATTTGTGGGTGTAGATGATCAAGTTGGATAGTTTCTGGAAAATTAACATAACATATATACAGATAGAGAGAGGATACAATTTACACTAAACTTAGAGCAAACAAAAATAACACTTATGATGCGTGCATGGTACGTACATGATGCATGCAAAGTAAATGACAGATACATCAATAATCAATATATAAATAAAACTATATTGTGTAACAAATAAAAGATATTATTTATTGAATATAGGCATCATTTCACAATGATCAACATCCAATGATAAATGATAAAACGACAGAGCCTAATTTTCCTCATTCTTATGCATGTATTCAGCTTCCTTTCTGAATGTACAACATCAAATGATAAAAAGATTTTGCAAAAATTGAGTTTAAAATTTGAAAAATAATGATATTAAAATATATCAATGAATAAAAAATCAATGAATAAAAATGAATTATAAAAAAATATCGCCATCTTAGGTCATTATCTATAATCACCATTGTGACGTCATGATGTAATATGTAGTTTGTTACGTCACAATAGTTCATCTATGAATTACATGAGCTCATACGCAAAATATTTGACATTGATGTTATCTATTAAATGTTCTGGTTTTTTTTATTAGGAATAATTAAGGGAAAATATCATCAGATTATGATACTTTTTATAGGACGCAGATGTGGTTTCCTGTTTTTCTATACTTTTACCATTTAAACAGCTATGAATGCCATGGCCGATCGTTAATGTCGTCATCATTATGACGTCATAATGGTAACGTTGAACAGGATTGATCGGTACTGGAAGGCGGCTATTCTGTCTATTGAACAAAAATTAGCATTGCCTTGCTTTCAACGGTCAGTTAAAGGCAATATGAAAAAAAAGAGACAACATGGGTCGCTAACGCGCTTCACTTAATGTATATGGTCCTTGACACTTAAGGTATGACGGAGTAATGTTAATCAATAATTATAATTTATTTAATTATTAAAAAAACTAATAATTTATTATGAAATACTAAAATGCCATATCTTTGTATCCTTTGAGCTAGTGTACTTTGTTATCATATTTAATCCCCAACTGCACATTTATTTAAAACAAACATAAACATACACTACAACAAATAAGCCAACAAACCCATGCCAGTAGAAACATATGTGGTGTTAGAGTGTAAGAGTGTGTGTTCGAAATTTTCTTGTGTTCTTATATAATTAGTTATGTTTTCTTTTTGTGTTTTCGTTATTTTTTATCTGTTTTCTTTTAGTTCATTTTCTATTTGATTTTCCAACTCATCTCAAGACATGTCTATTTCAAATAAGTCCTGGTACATTTCTTTATCAGCATACATGCCTGTATAAGTTTTGCTTTATTTCATGTTGCCGTAGCAACATTTAAGTGGCTCAAGGTCAAGACGTATATCCATATATTTAATTTGATTTGGAAAACTGTGTATATCGATGACAGTATATTTAATTCGTCTTGACACAAATTTTACAACTATATTAAATATAAACATCGCAAAGTTTTTTTTATTTTTTTATTTTTTTTTAAAGTATCACATGAAATAATGTAATTTTATGGAAACATGAAAATATTACTCCAGCCTAATTATTGTACATTACCTCGCAATAAATGTACCTAAGTGTCATGAGATGAGATGAAATATAATGTATGTATGTAAATATTGTATTCAATGTCTTAAACTATCAAAAGTATGCTGGAAGCCATGGAGAGAGCTTATATAGGCAAAGCCTGTTGCTCAATCCTTTTGTTTAAATCAATAAAATATATTTGAAATGAAACTAAATATATCTTGGTCTGTTTAGCGCTATTAAGTATATGATTCTATGATTTCGTTTTGATATTATGTCTCAGAATATGACTATGTATGAGCATTTCTTTGTTTGCGACACAATTCAGATATAAATATTTATATACTCCCCTTTTCTCCACAAAAAACCTGAAAACGGTAATGTTACCTAGGTTCAAAGGGAAGTCGAACCCAGGTAATTGGAGAGGAAAAAGTGGTGATTCTGCTGTCCGTTTTCAAACTCTTAAAAGACTGATAATTTGCAATTTTCGTGATCCTACGCCTATCTTACCAATATGTGAATGGTAACTCGAACTCTAAAACAATCTTTCATTTCTACCTATAAAAATCCTTATTTTGATTACCATATTTTCAACCACTTATAATTCAAATATCAAAAGACATATCTTCCCCGTGCAGAAATTTGGGTTTGTGCTTCACCTTTACTTTTATTCCAGATTATCAATTGATATATATATATATATATATATATATATGTATCATTTAATCCTTAACTTTCTTAATCTTATACATTTATTCGTTTTATTTTTTGATATTTATAGATGTATCTATTTTATCATTTATGTTTTAGATATATTTCATGTGTTCATGAATTTTACGCTCATCAACTACAATAAAATACAACATTTATAGAACTATTTTAGTGGCAAACATGTCGTACATGTATACGGAGAGGTAAGACACAATATCTATATACGTGTATGTACAAATATGAAACATATATGAAAACAATACTTACCTAAATATAGATCATCATCCGAAAGTAGAAGCCTCTTGCTTTCCGTGAAAGGGAAAACAAGAAGACAAGCGAAAACGAAAAAACGATAAAGGACGAACATGTTCCTAGTTGGCGATCAACGACCAACGTGTTTCTCTTCTCTCTAAGTTTGTATCCCGTTACGAATTATTTTGCTTTTAAGTTTCAGTAAAATAAACGGCTATCCCGTCTGATGGTGCGCTGTCCATTCGTTTGTCGTTTTTGCCTACGTAAATGAATGTTCACAGTAGTCACACCTCCGCTAGAGTTTAATTACGCAAGGAAATTGATTTCACTCTGACGTTAATTGAAGTGGTATAATATTAATTGA